TAGTGCTTTACTGCGAAGGATCGTGCACATATACGATTCATAACCGCAGTTCATATATATGTATTTCATATGTTTGTTGTTTGATTTATCATCTACGGGTTTATGTCGAATTAATTTGATGGCCTGCTCCCAGTTGGCTTGTTAGCTCAATTGGTAGAGCGCTGCACTAGTATCGCAGAGGTCAGTGGTTCGAATCCCGTACAGGCCTGAATTTTTTTCAGGTCTGATTTTCACTATTGCTTAAATAGTGCTTTACTGCGAAGGATCGTGCACATATACGTTTCATAACCGCAGTTCATATATATGTATTTCATATATATTTGTTGTTTGATTTATCATCTACGGGTTTATGTCGAATTAATTTGATGGCCTGCTCCCAGTTGGCTTGTTAGCTCAATTGGTAGAGCGCTGCACTAGTATCGCAGAGGTCAGTGGTTCGAATCCCGTACAGGCCTGAATTTTTTTCAGGTCTGATTTTCACTATTGCTTAAATAGTGCTTTACTGCGAAGGATCGTGCACATATACGTTTCATAACCGCAGTTCATATATATGTATTTCATATATATTTGTTGTTTGATTTATCATCTACGGGTTTATGTCGAATTAATTTGATGGCCTGCTCCCAGTTGGCTTGTTAGCTCAATTGGTAGAGCGCTGCACTAGTATCGCAGAGGTCAGTGGTTCGAATCCCGTACAGGCCTGAATTTTTTTCAGGTCTGATTTTCACTATTGCTTAAATAGTGCTTTACTGCGAAGGATCGTGCACATATACGTTTCATAACCGCAGTTCATATATATGTATTTCATATGTTTGTTGTTTGATTTATCATCTACGGGTTTATGTCGAATTAATTTGATGGCCTGCTCCCAGTTGGCTTGTTAGCTCAATTGGTAGAGCGCTGCACTAGTATCGCAGAGGTCAGTGGTTCGAATCCCGTACAGGCCTGAATTTTTTTCAGGTCTGATTTTCACTATTGCTTAAATAGTGCTTTACTGCGAAGGATCGTGCACATATACATAAATTTTATATTTCATTACAGCCATTTTGAAATCACTGATGATCCTTGCATTCTCATTAGCTCTCGTCAGTGCGATTTAGTAGCTCTCATTCGCATCCCTTTCTCAGCCAATGAGAGAGCGGTACTGAAACAAAACAACCAATCAGATTTCAGGGCTTGTTTGAAGAAAATAATCGAATTGCAGGAAAATGAGAGACAAACTAGCCTTAGTTTGGCGAGTCTTGCAACTTTTTCTCCTAAAGATTTTCTTTCCACTTAATTTACCAACCACGCCATAAAAACGCATGATTTAAGTGCAATCAGGCTGGTGTGAGTTTATTTTTCGTTTGAACGCCAGAATCAGTCCATAAGAACACACATGTCTTGTTAAAGAGAGACTTACCGCATAAAAGGCTGACTTGACATTGCTGACAAGTTCGTTCTCTGGACTATTAGCAAGTATGAAATGCGGAAACGAAGCTTGGATAACCTCACGGAGCAAGTTTTCCTGTAATTCGGGGCCATTCTCTATATAATATCGTTTAGCCACAATTTTAATCATTTCCTGTTGCTGCAATTGAAGAGGAAAAAAGATCGGCCCTTAAATTTACCTGTTTTCCCAAAACAATTAATGGTTCATATGAATCTTGTTTCTATGGGAAGCGAGTGGCAAGTGCCCTCCCTGGACAAGAATGTGGTTGAAGTGACCCTGCGCCTCATAACAGGGGAATGGTAGGTTGCAAAAACCGCTGGGAACGCCTCAGCCAAACAAAGAAAAGGAGGGGGAGGTTTAAATGGTTTGCTCGGATTCGGATTATGACTTTGACAGCAATGAGTATCGATTTGATTCTTACCTCACAGATGTACTCCTCAGCACGGATCCCCCCGACAATCTGATGGTAGATTAGATTAGTGGCCACTTTGTCAGTGGTAATATTTTCCGTGGGTGCAAACAAATCTTTTCGAAAGAACAAGTGCCAAGCACCACAATCGTTTAGAGTCTTAGAGCATGCATACTGCTCAGCCAGGGAGACGGCATCTAAAACACTTTCATTTCCACAGCCCCAGTTGGCAACCTACGACAAATGATAACACCTATTGGTGATGAATTACGTATACACATCTGATCAGGTCCCAGAGCATTTCATCTTAAAGTTCGTTAATCTGCAGCCGTTTTTTTTTTTACTTTGTTTTGTTCCTTTTGAGCGATAAAGCGTGAAGCCCGCCTCTTCCACCGAGTGTTTAGCGTGATGGTAACACTTTTGAACGGGTGGAACGAAAAATGATGTCTGAGATTTTCTCTGGAAAAAGAGACGCTTTCAGAATTTCACCTAAGTCAAAACCTTGCCTTAAACTCGTTGGCCGTCCGAACTTGAATTAAATCTGGACTCACATGAAATGTCCAATTTGATTTAAAGTGTTTAAGATTTTGGTTTCTACCGTAAACGTGTTAGCGTTGATCTAGTTTTTAATGCCCGGCGAGCTTAAAACTGCGAAAAAGTTTGAAGGCTTATGTTAAGAAGCTCCGTTAAGGAGACCAACTTGACTTAATGCTTCAATAAAAACGGAAAATCCAAAGACATCCTTCAGTCCTAGTTCGTTTTTGATGAGCTGGCAAAGTTCAGCGCAAGTTGTTGCAGAATCCACTTCAAATGTCTTCCTTGCTCCATCCATGAATATTACTGGCAGAGTAAGGGGTGACTGCGTTTTGACGGCCTGTGAATCAGATACCGACATTCCGTAAAAATCCGAGAGTAAAGAACTAACCCGTTAGTTTTGATGTGTCACCATAACCCATAAATTAAAATGTATTTAGGCTGTAGGAGGTTGGGAAATCTCGGCAAACTTGGAAACGTTGAAAGTTTTATTTGGCAGACACTCGCGGGGTGGGGGTTCAATATGTTGTACCGAGCATCCTCCCTCTCCTAAGTTGTAAAATAACATTTTGGAGAACTGAACCAAATTTTTTAATCGTTTTAGACATCCTTAAAGACGAAAAATTCGAAGATAATCTTCTTAAAGTGTTCACATAATAGAGGAGTCCAAAAAATATTGCGTGATAAGAATTCACTTTGTTGATCACTTACCTCCAATTCAGCGATAGTAGGAGGTTGTTTTCTAGAACCTTTTTCAACAGTTCTCCTAAGAATCGAGTAGCAATACTCTCCAAATTTACCTGGGCCTTGCTTCAGAAAGTTTCTGAGGTAATTCAGCAGCTAACAACGAGGAATGATTCATTTAGTGTGGTGCAAGTGCAAAGAATACAGACAAAGCGATTTTAATGTCAAGTCAGCACCTTATCCGATGGCGAGAAAACGCCGACACAAAGGGCAAGTAGAATCCATCCTCGGCTATAGCTTGTTGGAGAACCATTGTTAATTAGTTGGCGGCAAATTTGGCAGTAGATTTCATCCCTGTTATTAGATAAAAATGATGTGAATTAAATCAAGCAACAAAATGGAGAAACAAATTTTCGTCTTTTTTTCTTTCCTTTCTTCTAATAGGGATACACATATTAGAGTCTCACTAAATTTTGCACCTGGTCATGATAAGTCTACCAAAGTAGAAAAAATGACCCAGCCCAATGAAAGTCAAATACCTTCCTTTCAGTTCTGCAACTATGAATTTTGTAGTGGCCATCGATAAAACTGGAATTTTTTTACCGCGAGCAAACATTTAGGAAAATCCGTAAGAAAATAAACAAAACAACAACAACAACAAAAAAACGCCTCTTCTGCATATACACAAACAGACTGAAAAAATGTGTCAGCCAAGCTCACCTTAGAGTCTGTCTACGTATTCCAAAGCTGGTGATAAACTGTATTTTCTCAACGTTTGTTGTGGAACGATTCATTATGATTAAAGGTGGAATGTCGTGTGATGTCAAGGACATCTGTTGGGTCTGCAAATTAAGTATCGAAATAATTTGTAGTATAAATCAGATAACAAAACTTTAGAAATGGACAAGGCAATAACTAGCGATAAAGAAACATAACAGGTCGCATTCAGCCACGACAGTTTTCTTGAATGAATACGTATCTTGCAATTCTTTGTAGGAGTATTGTCGCCCCTCCTTTATTGACCAAGCACGTTCGATTGGTAATTAAGTGTATTGGTCGTTACAAGTTATACTGACTGACAGCACCAGCGTTTTCGCCGTTGATCAACCTTTCAACCTCGTTTTTAATAACTAAGTCGACTTAACAAAGGAAACAGTGAATGATTTCGGTGGGTATGGGTAACAATCCTCTTCACTGACAGCTGTTGAAAACAATCAATTTCCATCCGGTCAATAACACTGGTAAAGAGAACTTTGGAACGTGTGAAAAGAAAAAAAAATTAAGCGGAGAAACCGGAATGTTTCGACGAAACAAGATGACAGCGAGTGTAGAGTCGATTCGCTCGTGTAGACTAGTATAAATTGATTGCTACTTTCTACCTTTTCAGAGACAACTTTCCTCTTGAATGTGGTTCCAGATGCATAAGCTTTGTCATTTGGCTGTGGCATCTCTTTTACTTCTGAAATCTTTTGAAAAAAGAAAGTATTCCTTACAGGATCTTATTCTATACCTACTTTTTAAGGAAGTATTGCGCTATGGTACGAAAAAATAAAATGTACATAAGTTTAACAAGCAAGATTCAATTCGCGGCAAAATAAATACCACAATGTCTTCTTCCTCGAATTTTGGTTCTCCCATATCCCTCATGAATCGCAGTATGGCGACAGAAATCGCACAGGACGCCTTTAAAGTGAATAGGAAATAACGGTATATGATAAAATAAATCATGACTATGAAAAAAGATTATATGAAAACATCCAGTTTTATCATTTTGATCGGTTGATTTATTTTATAATGCATCCCGCCAGTGCGGCCGCGGAAATCCGGCTAAATTTGTTGAAATGTGTCGACCAGTGGTGGAGTTTCTTATTAACATTTCTCACATTCCAGCCAAACGTCATTTATTTCATGCCAGAAATTCCGATAAATCAAAACTCAACTAGTTTACTCCAGGGTTAGAAACGTGTCGCACGGTCTCAACTCTGATCTCTACTGGGCGTCATTTTAACATGGAACCATGATCTTTTATGTTGACACATTTACATTCCACTCAATGATCGATTAGATCTATATGGTTCATGTGATTGATATACATTACAAAGTAGGAACTGTTACCTTGATGTCGTGGATGCTGTCGCAGTGCAATAGCGATGATGTCAGCGGTACTCTGGAGAACTGGCATATTTCTCCATTTCGAAAATTGCTTTTAGCAAAACTTAGAAACTCAAAGCTTGACAAATCATCAGGTTCCTGAACATTCTGTTTACGAAAGTAAATAAGGGAAACAAAAACTGCCTTTAAAACTGACGTCACAGGAATGGGCAAGTAAAATTTCGAAAATCGATCTGTAAGATAAAGCACACTATGCTATCATGACTTTTAGAAAAGGCCCGCTGAGCCCAAGACTATTGGAGAATAATTCTATCGCACCTGTCTGTGAAGTTCCATTCTGTTTGGTCCTGTTGACGATGTGAATAAAAGATACTTTTATAAGTCTCACATTCTAATTAACATCCGAACATATTTGTTAATAGACTAAAGCAAAGTCCCATCTGGGGCTCGGATTTTTCTATTACACTAAAAATTGTTTCATCTTTAAAAAAAAAGAACTCGAATAAAAAATCTTCGACGTGCAATTCGTTAATTCTTACAAACATAGCGAGGAAAAAGGCTTTTTAAAGAAGTGCTTCATTGTTATGCTTCACTTGTTTTCACCAGAATGGCTGCTCTTTAATTGCTGCTTCTGTATTGGAACTGCCCGTATATTTAACCAAACGACCCAGAGCCTTTTTATCATTCAAGGCGAGGATCATTGACATCATTAATTGAGACAATTCAATGGCGACTGAGCTAAGTTAAAACAGTCAGACATTAAGTTTGCGTGAGGTAAACAAAGTGTTCGAATTCTTTGTGCTGTAATTTAACATGCGATAATTTCGTAAATAATTCTTTAATTCCACTGTATTAGCAGTAACTAAGTTATCTTACCTGGTTAAACAAATATACTTCCTTTTCTACCCTATCGTTGAAGTGGATAGTGTTCTGTCAAATTAAATTTCACACTGGCGACTTAAGCGTGTTATTCTGACACTCGGGGTTTGAGTTGTGAGCCTGATCAGAATCACAAAGAATAAAATGCTCCAGCGGTCATGCAGAACATAACATTCCAGCATAAATTTGGATCCGTCACTTCTAATTAAAGAACACCCTATACAAAACACATTTTTTGCGGCAAATACTTCTTTCTTTAGACAGACATTTCTGAGACAGCACAATATAACAGGGATGCTACAGTACTCCCAGAACCTCTCAGGCCACTGTGTCAGAATAACACAGCTTATCATTTCCAATGTACTCCAAAGGCGACCACCCCAGGATGTAACTAAGTCCTTCACTCTCTCACCCATGCACCCTGACGTGCAAAGAAGCTGATAAAGTGAAACGAATAGGGAGCCCGACTGCTTTCTTTAGAGTTTTCCGTTGCTATTTTGGCACCTGATCACTGATGTAGAATATTCGTTGGCATTGCATTCATACAGAATAAACTGACCAAGAGAAACACAATTTTAATAGGGTGACCAGACGTAAAACGCAAAAGCAAAGGATTCTACATGGTTCCTTTCTATTTTGATTTTGTTTTTCGACTACTTTGGTCATACTCCTCTTCTAACCATGACCCTTTTGTGAGCCTTTTTTGTATTGGTCCAAACAGCAGCTTTTAAAACTTATCCGCGAATTTTGTAAATTTGATTCCGTATCTACTAATAGCATATGGAGAATAACGACTTTCTGCTGTGCTTCAATGATTAAATATAGCTATTCGTGAGTTATTCCTGTTTCCTTTTAAAGACATTTCCATTGTTCAAAATATCAGTAACAACATTCCCGAAAAATGGTTGGACAGCTTTGGGTAAATATCATTGAATGGAAGAAACAAAGGAGCAGAGAGATAAAAAGAAAGAAATAAAATTGCTTGGAAGAAAGAAGGAAAGAAAGAAAGAAAGAAAGAAAGAAAGAAGGAAATGAGATCTTAAGAAATCTAAAGGTCTTAACCGTTTTGTTGGTAGGAAATGAAACTGTTAGAATTGACATATCTAATATTTCTCCCTGCCATTAAATCTCCTTTCATATCAGAAATATAATTTTCTTTCTTGCATAAACGTAGAATTCAACAAGTCGATTTATCTCAAGGATAAATGAAGTGCGCTTCGTCTAGTTGAAAATCTTTAAAGTCAACTCCCATCTTCACAATTTACGTTTTCTTCACTGATTCTATATTTTGGAATCAAATTTATCACCAGATCAACACGCTATTTTACTTTATTGGGCACAAATTGAGACTTAAATACACAACGGTTTAAAAGGTCCTATGTGGCCTTCAAGTTCACAATGACCCGGAGAAAAAATGTTTAATTAACGAATTGGAGGGTCTTTTGCCGGAGGAATTCATCTAAAGCTTTCCAAACCTAGAGGCTCAGCGCAAACTACATGTATCAACGGATACAATACAACATGCAGGTATGTTTACACTTCTGTCCTCAGTCAACCAATAAAGAACTCACCCATGATAACATGTAATTAATTTGGTGCAAAGTGTCAAATTCGATTTTGATTATTGTATCCGTAATTTGTCGATCCATTTGCTTGTTGGTTTATTTGCCTTTGTGTTGTTGATAATTTAAAGTTGATTTAGTTGATATCGATGGCAGTTCAGCTGACGCATTTTTATTTTGTGTGGCTTTTTCTAGCAGGCGCTGTCCAGTTTTCATCAACCCAGGAATCAGGTAAAAGACTGATTTTTTGCCATTAACCTAAGGAATCAAACTCCATCTCTGTTTATTTAGTCTCAACAGAATGCTTCTCAGGATTACATACCACTGCTAAAATTTTCCATCTCTTGAGCTACTGTTTATCTTCCTTTAATTTGATCTCAGTAGGTGTTAATAATAAATACAAACGGCTCAAAGGAATTGGGTAGAAGCTGGTAACGGCAATCCCATGCAAAATTACAAGTTTCGCTCGCTAAACAAGCTGATGTCCAACCCCTAATCAAAGAGAGGACTCATAGATGTTTAGTTCGAAAAGTAAAGAGCTGCGCTATTTAAAAGTGGTTTCTTGGAATTGTAATTTTTGGAATTACTTTAACAACTTATGCAGCGGTAAAAATTGTTCTGAGGGGAACGGAACGTCCACCAGTAAGACCTGCTAAAAAAACAAACAAGTTTAAGAGTAATGCAAGTTTTGCAAGTTTCATTTTTTACCATTTCTGAATTTGTAAGAAATTTTATCCACAAATAATCTGCTTTACCAAATTGAAGTGGCGAGTGAACAAAACTAGGCGAGGTAACACGCTCTTAGAAGATCGACCAGAGTCTACATAACAATTTGGTCACAGAGCTACTAATTCAAGATAATCCGTTTACATCGACAAGAATGTGTTGACTAACAATTTACCATTTCTTTTAATATTATAATTACATATATACAAGTGTATGATATTTAAATGTGACTATCTGTCTGTCTGTAGGTTTGTATGTCTGTATGTATGTATGTATGTTTTAGACGATTTCCTGCTTCAATGTTTTACGTACTTTTCTTTTTTTCTTGTTTGAAGAAGCAGAGCCGATGTGTATGGTAGAATATCAGAAACTCGGATGTTTCAAAGACAACAAAAAGAGCCCTCGGCTTTTAGAGAAACTTATTTTTACTGATCGTGAGGATCCTCAGTCTCCTGTTCGTAGTAATTTTAGCATAGACTGGGGGAGTTGGAACACGTACTTGCCAAAGTTAGCCTGCAGATGCGCGGAGAAGGCTGCGGAGAACAAGTTCACCCATTTTGGCTTGCAGTTTTACGGTGAGGAGGTTTAGTCTTAAACAATATTACAGATGGATGATATTTTCATGAAAACTCTGGTAGGCAGAAGGCTTTAGGCGATACCTAAATGAACTATCGGTAGGAACGTCCATTGTCCTACATTCTTGGGGCAATCACTTTCGAGGCGCACNGTGCGAGGAAGGGCTAACGCTCGAAAGGTCAGCGTTTGTAATCATTACGGTGGCCAATTTACCATTTCAACTTTGTTGATATATCCAAAGCATTAAAATTTGTTGGTCATATTTTGTGGTCAGCTTAAGGGCACCATTAATAATTTATAACACGAGGATATCTAGGCAGCGATTCAATTCAGTGTTTGGTGCAAAATTTAACTTAGCTCCAGTTAAATCTTCCAGACAGGTGTATCTCATTCTGGAAACTATTATATTTTTTTATCAAACCTGGCAACTCTTTCGCCCTATCCCTGTCGCTACTTTCTTGTTGCTTAATCGCTCTCCAGGTGCAACTGACTGTTTTTTTCGGTCATTGTTTAAATCTTACAGCCGTTGTTGTTGACGTCATTTTTTACTGGTTTCTCGGCGAATTCTGAAGAGATTTTTGCTATTTTGGTTAACAGTCTCAAGACTTATGTTGACTACGGCGTGCCTTTGATTGACTTGTAAAGTTGCCAGAGTTTTCAATAACTTTGATACATGTTTCTTTCATTTGCATATTCACTCCTGCCATTATGATTTCGTTCGAGTAGAGACAAGTTTTGTGGACAGAAAATTCAAAGAGTAGAAAGTTAGGCGGCGAATTTTCTGTACAGTGTTTATTCTGTGGAAAACTGTTCGTGGTGGGGACGAACTTGTAGTGGAAGACAGTGCTAACCAATGATAAGAAATGGAGTGGAATGGTGGAATGATAAGCCGTTCATCGCTAACAATCTTACTCCGTGAAAAGACTTGTAACTGAACACCAAAATTAAGATAATTGTAATCATCTTATCTAAGAAAGTCATCTGAGGCCCATATATCCCAGAGAGGTATCGCATATAACCAACAAGTACTAGTTGTTAGACCTTTGAAACAAAAGAAAACTTTTTGAAAAGCTTTGATCAGATTTCGGAAAAACCGATAGACGTTAATTCTAGTCAAGGTATTTGATGATTAATTAAATGTCACATCCAGAGTGCGTGTTAAAGTTTGGGCTAACATAAGCGATGAGATCAAGCTCTTCCCCATCAAACCTTTTAAGGAAAAGCCAAAATCCGGTTATGATGAAAAATACTGATCCCGTAATTTTTTTCCTTAACATACTAGTATCTTTTCATTGTTATTCTTTTATTTTTCTGTTCTTTCTCTTATTTTTGTTTTTCTTTTCTGCTTTTTATGTTTTGTGTAGGTTTGTCATCAATTAATCACTAGGTGTGGCTGACCTATCCTTCTACCTCTTTATGGCTATTAAGTCTGTGAGAACTGTTGAAATGACTTGCGTTAAAGCTATTTCTGACGAATCGGTATTTCATTTCTAGGAAAATTTTGCAACACACCTGTGGATATCATAATAGCTCTGGATGCATCTGGTAGTGTGCTCAAAGAAAACTGGGATAAAAGCGTAGATTTTGCCACGCAGCTCGGCAAGAAGCTACTTACCTTAAACGCAGAAAGTCGAATGGGAGTCATTGACTTCAGTCAGGTTGCTGATGAGGCTATTGAACCATCTGGCGACCAAAAACTTCTGGAATGGAAATTGAATGACTTGAAAAACAGGTATCAAAACGGAAACACAAGAACAGAGCTCCCTCTGAAAAAGGCGGCTGAAATATTTCAGAGAATCAACCGAAGTTCAGCGAAGAAAGTGCTTATGATATTGACTGATGGTCAAACGACACCACTGAATTACAAGCCTGGAAAGGAATTAATACAAGAGCCCATGAACAGCTTGAGAACCATGGGGGTACATGTTATCGCTGTAGGAATTGGCGCGTTGGTTAACAATAAGGAGTTGAATATAATGGCCTCTGAACCGAAAAATGAAAATGTAGTTCATGTCCAGGATTATGATAAGGTCTTGACGATAATGGAATCAATAACTCAGATCGTCTGCTCAGCAGAAGGTACAAACCAAGCACTATACATTATAAGATAAATGCACAATATAGAAAGTTGAAACACTGAACAGTTCAGCTGCCTGAACTATTCACCATAGTAGAGTTGCGGGGCGGCTCACTAAATATCCACCACCTTCGCTGACACTGAGGTGAATAATTGTTTTAATACAGATACCAAAAACTTAGGTTACCTCTTTCAATATACCGAAAAATAAAATGGTCAGAAACACAACTCTTGACCCGCCATTTTCTCTCATTGGCAGCTCGGAACTAGCCAATCAGCGCGCGAAAAGCCCTAAATACTTGTGTGGTATATAATACCTATACAAAATAAAACATAAACCAAATAGGGACCTGCCGTGTGTGGGCCACAATAATTGTTATCTATTGTGATCCAAAATGAAATTCGACTGACGAGTTAACAATTGATTAATTGTGTATAGAATTTCATACGAATGGCGGCATATCAAAGGAATTAATTGTTTTTTATTGACTGATACCTATCTTATTATGATTATGATTGTTGCAGAAAAATAAAAAACACGGCACATTATATAAATGAACCATAAAGTATTGATAACGGAAATGATAATGATGATGATAAATGATGAAATGAGGCTCTAAAGCTAATCTCGTGAAAGGATAAATAATTCCCACTTTCTTTTTTAAGATAAATCTTAGAGAAACCCTTGATGCATCCGACATGTCTTTTTCAGAGCCCCAGTCCCCCGAGTCTCTACTGCCGTCTGTTGCTCCCGCCGAACCTATCAGCATAAGTAAGTATGCACATGCCCCTCTGTTAGATATAGAAAGTAAGCATAAGAAAATAAAAGTGTCACAAAACTTCAGCAAAGCTCGACGAGTTCGTTCAGGAAGTGAAGTCTTGAACCTACGTCATTTAAAAAAAGAGAAAACGTTATATCACCCTCCAGGACGTTTTACCATGTGATCTTGCTTATGTTGTTGTCTGTATGGTCTTCTTTGGAATCATGAGCCTGATGCATTCCTCATGCGATCACCCGTTTGTACTCAGTGTTAACTATCATTTCTCAATCTAGAATGTACTCCTTTCTCACCCTAAAATTATTTCTACCTGGGGAGGATGTGTCAATCATACTTTTTTTCGATTAAGCAACAACTTAATTTTCACACATTCGACCTATTTATAGAACATTTACTCCAAAATCGAAGACGATGAGATTCCATTCCTTGCTAATTTCACCAAGCGCCATCTTTATACTTTTTAGATATGGGAGGATACTTCCAGGTCCCTGAACGAATAAATATCAGTCGCACGTTAAGTAATCTTTGTTTTCGTACCAGTTCTACACCTACTCTTCTGGGTTGTGTTTTTTTGTATTCTCGAGAAACTTTCGGCAGTTACTTATGGCCGGGTTGACCTTGAGGTTTTAACTGCTGGCCTACTTCTCCCTAGCAATTTGACCTGTTCGAGTGCAATCATAGGTCTAAAGTTGTGTCCAATGCAAACTTCTGGGTAACCATTTCCACGGAGAGAGGGCAAAAAAGAGACCTTTTTTGATCGATTCAGTTCACGCGCGTACCATGTTAGACGTTTTGTTGTGTAGTATCGCTGAGTATTTTTACAAGTTGTGCCGTATTTTCACGAGCCCGTGGGGCGAATTTCTTGGATATTCATTTACGGGGAGTACGTGACAGAAGTATGCGAAGTGGAACGGAATTGGCGCATTGCTGTTTCTATTTTCCTCAATAAATGATGACTCTTCGTCGTCAGAAAAAATGATTTAAATTGCCCGCCATTTTTTTTTAACTTAAATCCAATTCGTCGTTTGCGCGATGCGAGAAAACCTGTCTAACCGGTTCTCTGGAGTACAAATACCGCGAGATATTTGTACTCCAATCAAGAAAATGTTTCTTGAAGAGTTCTCACCCTTCCGGCTGCATAACTTGATGAGAAAGAATCCCATTACCCTTGGTATATTCACAGATCCACAAATAATATGCTTTACCAAATTAAAGTGGCGAGTGAACAAAACTAGGCGAGGTAATACGCTCTTAGAAGATCAACCAGAGTCTACATAACAATTTGGTCACAGAGCTACTAATTCAAGATAATCCGTTTACATCGACAAGATGTGTTGACCAACAATTTACCATTTTTTTTAATATTATAATTACATATATACAAGTGTATGATATTTAAATGTGACTATCTGTCTGTCTGTAGGTTTGTATGTCTGTATGTATGTATGTATGTTAAATGTGACTATCTGTCTGTCTGTAGGTTTGTATGTCTGTATGTATGTATGTTTGTATGTATGTTTTAGACGATTTCCTGCTTCAATGTTTTACGTACTTTTCTTTTTTTCTTGTTTGAAGAAGCTGAGCCGATGTGTATGGTAGAATATCAGAAACTCGGATGTTTCAAAGACAACAAAAAGAGCCCTCGGCTTTTAGAGAAACTTATTTTTACTGATCGTGAGGATCCTAAGTCTCCTGTTCGTAGTAATTTTAGCATAGACTGGGGGAGTTGGAACACGTACTTGCCAAAGTTAGCCTGCAGATGCGCGGAGAAGGCTGCGGAGAACAAGTTCACCCATTTTGGCTTGCAGTTTTACGGTGAGAAGGTTTAGTCTTAAACAATATTACAGATGGATGATATTTTAATGAAAACTCTGGTAGGCAGAAGGCTTTAGGCGATACCTAAATGAACTATCGGTAGGAACGTCCATTGTCCTACATTCTTGGGGCAATCACTTTCGAGGCGCACGTTGGAAACTCTTTGTTTGTCAAGCTCCATTCACTCACTCGTGAAAAATGTATTTTTGACTAGTCCATCATTTACACATCTCTGTCCTTCACGGGTACACTACAGCAGATTTAGCCGTGGGGCTCAATCACACTCTGCAAATATTATTGTAAATAATATTGCAAATTGATTATGACTGACCAAGACCATTATTCTTCGAGTTCATCTAGTAAAATCACAAATTGCAGTTATGTTTTGAAAAAATTTGCAATAGTTTCTAAAAGCTACGCTACGTGTCACAGAAAAATCCAGTCATAAATATTGTTTAAGTAAAAATAATTGAATTCATCACGGTTGTTGATCACTAAACGTGTTAGGGTTTTACCTTCATATATAAACTCAAGTTTCCCTTAATATAAATGTATACTTACAGAATCGACACATTCTGTATGATAACACTCATGTCAACTTATTTTACTGCTTCAGCAAGTGCTCTTGCAAGTTACTCAACTGCTCTCGCAATTCAGTTGATCTGCTGTCCGACCATCACCTGTGAAGTCTGAATAGCAGAACTTGTTCACCACAACGTTAAAGATTCAACTTGATACAAACTGAAATATTCAAGTATTGCTTGAAAGTTCATCTTCACTTTTCTTTTGGCATAATTTTTTTGGGATAATTTTCTGAATAGGAGAATGTTGGTCAAGTCCAGAGGCCGCTGAAAAGTATAACCAACTTGGTCCAGCTTCATCAGACAGCTGTTTGACCAGTGACTATCAGCCTTGCCCTGAAGATCCAAAAGCTATAGACGTAGAGTGTGTAGGGAAAACTTTTGTAAACTATGTTTACACCATACGAAAGAGTGAAGGTAACATAGGTATATGCCGTTTGATGGGCGTTGTTTTTATAGACATTACAAAACGTGCTTCTCGTTTATTGAACCATTTAGACGGAGAAACTCGCATTTCCTTTCCACGGAATAAGGTAGACCATTACAAGCAGCTCTTAAGGGAGGATGTTTAAAAAGTAACTGGAATATAGATATCTTATTAGACGTTTTGTTGTGTAGTATCGCTGAGTATTTTTACGAGTTGTGCCGTATTTTGACGAGCCCGTAGAGCGAGTCAAAATACAAATAACGAGTAAAAATACTCAGCGATACTATACAACAAAACGTCTAATAAGTTATTTATTATCCAACACG